AATAAGCAGTAATGTGTTTTATAAGTTAGTTGAAAAGAAGGTGTTGGGGTGCGTTACTAGATCCGATTTAAAGGTGACAAAATGTCTAGTTTAATGTTAGGACCGGATGGACTCCATAGATTATGGATCAAGTGGAAGCTATTCAATGCATTTAATCTCTCTCTCTCTCTCTCTCTCTATATATATATACATTTTTACACTTGAAACTTCACAACAAATTTATTGTAAAAGTAAAATAAATTTGAACATTCACAGCAAAAACACTGTGAAGGTTACCTTCACAACACTTTACTGTGAAGTTTCAAGTGTAAAAGAATGGTCTCACGGGTTTCACGAAAACAGGTTGATCTCATATGATCTCAAGTCCATATATATATATATACAAGGTTTTTATTTAATCGTTCCTCTCTCTCTCTCTCTCTCTCTCTCTCTCTCTCTATATATATATATATATATATATATATATAAAAGGAGAAACCAACTAGAATGACATGGTACTATGAGATTTGAGTATTCCTCAAATCTTGTAATATGGTTAAATTTGATTATCCCATATTGGTGGGGAAGAAAAAAAGTAGAATGAATGAAATGTGTATATATATATATATATATATGAAAAGAGGAGGTGATTCTTTTTGTTGCAAGTCATGATATTGGCTCAAATGAGTCAACCATTTCATTTGTGATTGTCAATATGAGTTTATTCTCCGAACTCATGAGTTTACTCATGTTGGCCAACCTTATTTTAGCAAAAAAAAATCATACAAAATAAAAAACTCTTTATCTTTATTTATATTAAAATAAACCGCACAAAAAATGAAGTGATATTAAATGAAGAACAGAGATGTATTGAGCTAACATTATGAGAATGAAATATTTCCAAATAGTGAACTGTTGTTGAGTTTTAAATATCTCACTTGGTGAGAATTTGAAAGAATACAATAAAGAGATATGTATAAGAATAAAGGATGAGATGATAATTGTATCAACTAATGAGGTTTGATTCATGAGTTGTCTTATTTTTTATGGCCCTATTTTTGCAAAACAACGTTTATTATATAAAACATATATTATTTAAAGATCAACCAAGTATTGTAAGGTGACATTACAAGACTTGAGTATTTTCAAATATTGAAATGTGGTGTGTTTTGATTATTCCATGTTGGTAGGAAAATGGTAGATTGAAAAAAGAAACATGTCTTTGAAATCTATAGTCGTGGGTTGGAATCAAAACCAATTCCAACCAAACGGTAACATATAGTTATGAAAAATCATGATTGAAATCTATCAAAGCCAATCAAATGGTAAAATTTATAATTATGAAATACTTTTCTACATGTATACAAAAAGTATGAAAGATGTCTTTCAAATGTATAGGCATGGTTGAAATCAAAACCATTTCCATCCAAACAATGAAAATTATAGTAATAAAAACCATAGTTGAAATCAAAGTCAAACAGATGGCAAAACCAATTAGTAAATATTTTTATATATTTTAGAGTAAAACTTACAAGGGATGCGGTGACATCCTAAGGAGTGTGTATTCTTCATTTCTTGAATTATAGTTGAGGTATGTATATCCCATATTGATGGAGATATGAAAGATTTATAATAAATGGTGGGTATAAGAAGGGAGGTTGAGATGTCTTTGTGGCAACTCATGAGGTTGACTCCTCTTGACCGATCCTTTAAACTCATGTTGTTGGTTTATTTTGTCCGACCATCTGACCTCATGGGTTGACTCATTTTGGTCAACTCCTTTTTAGCAAAAAAAAATGTTTAACTATACAAATAAATTGGCCAAAATATAATTTTTAACCGACCATCCTTTTGCAAAAAGAATATATATACACACACACTTACAAATTATTTAATTGAATACAAAACGGCATAATGTTGATAAATATCAATAGTGAAAACTATAACTTATAACGTACTTTTTTGAGGGATCATTCTATGTAAATATCTATATCTATATATGTATACATAAAATGAAGATCGTAAGGCATGAAGTAGTATTATGAGATTTAAATATTAAAAATATTCAATTATGGTGTTGTTTTCGTTATTCATATTGATGGGGGAAATGATAGATTGAAGGTCATTATATAATAAAAGAAAAATAGTAGATGTATGAAATGTATTATAATATTTGAATTATGTCATTGTTTATGTTACCTCACGTTATGAATCACATAAGAGATTGAAGAATGATTACGAATATATAAAAGGATAAGATACACATTTGAAATTTAAAATGGTTATTTGACTAAAGTATGCATTCGATTCATATTTCAAATTCAAGCATTAATATCTTATCATTATAAATGGGTGTTAGAATTGAATATAACATAAAATAAAATAAGTATTGGATGGTTGTGTGTCTACAAAATTATTGGATCCGATTCTTTTACAAACTTTTCAATGGAATAATTCCATATTATATATTACACTCTCCTCCCATAACATAAACATATATTTTTTAGTAGAATCGCATTCTCCAGTTTGATTTCGCATGAATTGCTTTCTTTTCTCCAGTCCAATCCGATCATGATTAAAGGTCCCGGTTGCGTAGAAACAGGCAGATGAGGCCAAATCAATAGACTAAGCAGCTTTCCGTAGAGTGCTATGAAGCATGGTGTACACAAAATGAATACATTGTGAATATTATTTTAGTTTGTGAACAGACTCTGAATCTACAAGATCTGGTATAACTTGTGAACACTTTATGAACATCAACAAAACTAAAGTTAAACATATCATGTTGCAAACACCATGTAAACTTTGTGAACACCCGTTAAAGAATTTCTTGAGATTATTTACATTGTGTTTAGAATGTGTTGATGTTGTGTGCGTTTATGTTATGGGAGATGAGAGAGGAGAGGGGGAGAGAGAGAGAGAGAGAAATATGTATGGAGTTTGATTTTCATAAAGAAAATGTTCTATCATCAAATTCTTAAATTACCGTTAATAAATAACATTAATTATCTTAAATTAGTTAATGGTTTGTGATAGATATATCATAAATTTTGGAGTTTTCAAATGATTAAGCCTATAATATTATATATAGAGGCAAGTTCAAACGAAAAGTTAAATATTTTGCAAGAAAACGATAAATTTCAATATCATATATGATTACATACATGATACACAAGTTTAGTCATACATGATTAAACACATGTTGCATTGATAATACATAAACGTTTAATCATATATATATATATATATATATAGACTTGGGATCATGTGAGACCTATAAGACCAATTTTTAACCTTTGGATTAGATCTACAATCTGAACATTCATAATCACAAAAATTACCACGAGACTTCTTAATAATCACAAAATTGTCACCATACAACTTTAGACCATTAGATCATTAGCTTATAAAGTTGATCAATAAATATAAATTGATCTTACGGGTCTCACGAAAAACTCTAGGTCTCACGTGAACCCAATCGTGTGTGTGTGTATATATATATACTATATTATAAAGCATTTGACAAAAACTCTTAAAAACCATTTTTTATGAATAAAGTACTGTTTATTAATGCATGTTACTTAAAACTCAAGATTACAAGTAGATTGTGCGTAAGTACAACTTATTAAAGCTCCATATCTGAATTCGTGTAACTAACTGCAGATAAACATAATCA